AGTCTTTCCAAAGGAGCCAAATTTATAGGCCGCTGTAGGATTACTTTTAAAAACCAAAGGAATGTCATGAAATCTATCACACAGCTCACACCCACAACATAATGAATCTTCCTCCAACTCTTTGTTAAAGCAGCTGGCAGACCCCTCCATTGGCTACAGAACCCCCTGAATACTCCCCAGTCTTTCACAGGCACAACAGCACTCATTCCAAAGGGAGGAGGCACCAGCTCTCAGGCTGTCTTCAGAGAACCAACCTGTCTAAGGGGAGACGTATGTGTGTGTGTGTGTGTGTGTGTGTGTGTGTGTGTGTGTGTGTGTGTGTGTGTGTGTGTGTTCATGCATGAACAGGTGTGTTAGAAGCAAAATGGCTGGCCAACACCTAACTTTTTCAGGGGTATAGATTCCTCATTTATTTAACAATGACCTCTGGATGCTCACTTTGAGCCAGGAACTCTCCATAAGGGTTACAAATGTAGGAGCGAAAGAGGCCCTTGTCTCCATAAAACATCCATTCTGGTGGAAGAGATAAGCCACAGACCGACAACCAAGTGAGTAAGTGGAACGCTGGATAAAGAGTATACTGAAAGAAAATTAAATTGGGCTGTTGTGACAGAGCAGCTGAGTGACTACTTCAGCACAGGTCACTGGGGGAAGGCTTTCTGGGGACACTTTACTCACCTAAATTGCAAGAACAAGAATGATACCCATGCCCTTGTAGCTACCATGCTCCCAAATATCCCAAGTTTCTCTTTACTTACAGTATGAATCTGTGCCGCCTAGAGCTATAGAGGGTCTAGATTATTTTTGTTTTGGTTTTTGTTTTAATGCTATCATTTTAGAAATGAAGAAAGCATTCGAGAAAAGTGAACTAGGGGGCTGGAGAGATGGCTCAGAGGTTAAGAGCACTGGCTGCTCTTCCAGAGGTTCCAAGTTCAATTCCCAGCAACCACATGGTGGCTCACAACCATCCGTAATGAGATCTGGTGCCCTCTTCTGGCCTGCAGGGATACATGCAGGCAGAACACCGTATACATAATAAATAAATAAATCTAAAAAAAAAAGTGGGTCTTCCCACTTCATATGAGAGAGAGAGAGAGAGAGAGAGAGAGAGAGAGAGAGAGAGAGAGAGAGAGAGAGAGAGAGAGAAGGTGAACTAAGTGATCAGGCCACAGGGTTAGTGGGTGAGTGATCAGATGCTGTTGACCTTTCTTCGGAAGACTCAAGTTCCTCCCCTGCTAATTTCTCTAGCGCCCACACCTTCCCTGTAGAATGCTCACCAGCATGCCTACTGGTCAAGATTCCACAGACACTAAGATCCCATGGACCCCACGGGACCTGGTGAACTGACACTAGGAACCTTGAAATGATATCCTGGGGTCTGCAGCAACAGAGAGAGAATAAGGTAAAGCCATCCAGCACATAGAGCCGAACTCTGGGGTTGAGGCTGGTCCCTGCCACTCCTGTCTGCCTATGAGTGACCAGGGTTTCTGGTCCATGCCACTCCTCCTGTCTGTGAGTGACCAGGGCTTCTGGTCCCTGCCACTCCTGTCTGCCTATGAGTGACCAGGGTTTCTGGTCCCTGCCACTCCTCCTGTCTGTGAGTGACCAGGGCTTCTGGTCCCTGCCACTCCTGTCTGCCTATGAGTGACCAGGACTTCTGGTCCCTGCCACTCCTCCTGCCTGTGAGTGACCAGGGCTTCTGATTTGGGAGCTGCATAGTCCTGTAAATTCAACTATCACTAAGCACCTTTTCTCAGAAATGTATCCAGGTTTAACTAATTTGATATGCAAATGTTCTAGTCTGTGGTATAACCCCTCCCCATCTGCTTAGCAAAAAGGTTAGCCACAAAATTTCTTTAAAAAGTGAGCTCCTTTGGTGCATTTAAAGTATGATCTATAAAAACTCAATCTACATGAGGATGTTATTCCTCCTTTTAAAAAAGAAAACAGCCATTATATCAAGGGCAATAGCATAAACTTGGACTCTTAATGATGGATTTTGGACTCTCTTATTATGTAATGGCTCTCATTCATTCCACAAATATTTATTGAACTGCTTTATGCAATGCACATATCCAGATTGCTATAAGGACACGATGATAGGAAGAAGGACACATCCTCTGCCCTCTGAGAGCATGCAGGTTCACAATCCCCACTCGGTGCAGCTATGATGAGGCTGCAGCGGAAGTATAAAGCAAAGCTCGGGGCATGTGGGATAAGACAATGGACCACAACTGGGATTGGAGAAGGGGGCAGCAACGTTTTAACTGGACTTCAAAGAATGCTTGTGACTTGTATAATTGTACAATTCATTCTAGGAAAAGGAAACATGGCATCTTGTGCAGGAAGTAGGACACACCAGGGCACATTCTCAGAACAGATGGAGCCTGATACAGATGATAAGGAAAAGATGATAAACTTTGGAGGGTGGACCAGAGCCTTGAATGCAAGAACAGATAAAATGGAGACCTGATCCATACACTATAACAGCCTCGAGTATTTGGGCCAGGGAAAGAACATGCAGTTGTGTTTTAGGAAGCTCATTCCAGCAGCCACATATAAGGCTGATTTGAATGGCAAAGGCTGGTTTCAGGACAAAGAGGCCCATTAAAGTAAGGTCGACATTTATGAGGTGGAACAAAGGTAGGATTGATGCTACAAATGATCTAACCCCCAGAGGGAAGACTTGGTGGAAGAAAGAGGTGAGGGTCCCAGGCCTCAGACCTGGGGGCCTAGACTAAAGAACTCTGCCGGCCTCTGCATAGTGACTTTTAAGGACAGTTGTGAGAGGCCAACTGCTTGAAACAGTTACCATGACCCCAGTACATAAGAGCTACCCAACTGGACAGCTCCTGATCCATGCATGGCGCCTCAGTCACTAAAAACTCCTCCTCTAGAGCTACCCAACTGGACAGCTCCTGATCCATGCATGGCGCCTCAGTCACTAAAAACTCCTCCTCTAGAGCTACCCAACTGGACAGCTCCTGATCCATGCATGGCGCCTCAGTCACTAAAAACTCCTCCTCTAGAGCTACCCAACTGGACAGCTCCTGATCCATGCATGGCGCCTCAGTCACTAAAAACTCCTCCTCTAGAGCTACCCAACTGGACAGCTCCTGATCCATGCATGGCGCCTCAGTCACTAAAAACTCCTCCTCTAGAGATAGGAAGAAGTGCCTGTTAAATGGGAGGGATGAGAACACTTCAGAAATGATGGCATCTCCGACAGGAGTGGAAAGTACATTGACCGGGCCAGAAGGCAGAAGCCCAGGGGCCTCCTCTTTCTGATCAAATGAGAACTCAGTAGGGGAGAATAACTTTAATCACGACCATCAGGTGTGATTTAAATCTTCTTATTCTGATGATATCACAATAACATGATGGGCAGAGGCCTATCAATATTAATAATTGGGTTTGAGTTCCACTGGCTGAGTCACAGACGTCCAGTTTACAGATTGACTTATAACTTAGCAGTCTGGGGCTCTGGGGCATCATTGTGAGTTTTGGAGAGTTTATCTCTGGCTGCATGGTCTTAGAGACAGACAGATGCTACAATATGAATACTAAATCTCCCCCAAAGGATACATACTTGGGGCTTGGCTCTTAGTCTTTGGTATGATTGGAAAATGATGGGACCTTTAGGATCTGAGGTCTAGGAGGAGGAAGTTGGGTCATCAGGAATGTGTCTTTAAAAGAATATTGGGGTCATAATATGTTCCTTTTGTTTCTCAGATACCATGAGGTGAACGAACAGGCCTTCCCTGCAACATGATCCCCACTATTATCTCAACTATTATCTCTTACCACAGACCCAAGACTACAGGTTCAGGTGTTCATGGAGTAAAAGTCAATAAACTGAAATCAATCTTTTCTGTATAAAGGTTGGTGTGTCTCATTATTTTGTCACAGTTACAGGATGCTGATGAACATACTTGGTTCCTCCTCTATTTAGAAGCATGTTGACATCATGAAATCTATTCTCAGCCAACTGGCCCAGAGCAGCTATGGACATAGTTTTAAATCGGATACTCAGTGTGCTTTGCATAGAATAAGATTATTATGAACAGAGTGGTCTCATAATAAAAGTATTTTAGGAAATGTCATGTTAAATAAAATTAAAGAAGCCTCTTTGTTCTGAGACATATCTGAACCTTCATTTGCTAATACATTCTGAGATTCCTTTGGACTGAAGAGCAGTAAATAGCATTTCCTAGTCTTATTTATTTTATTTTCAGAACAATTTGTTGGAGTATTTCAAGGGACAAATGCCAGCAGGATACACCTGCAAAAAAAGCCAGTGATTACTCTTAGATACTTAACCTCGAATCTAGATTATCGAGTACTGTGTGCCAGGCTCTGCTCCAAGTATTTTATAGATACCAATATATTGAATTCCCATTTTATAAGTAAAGAGCCTGAAAGATTGAGTAGCTAAGAGACTTTTTTCCCCAGTGTCCTAAATAGGCAAGTGGGTAAGCAGTGATGCCAATGGGAATTAATGTCTAAATGTAAAATTTCAAAGTCTATGGTCAGCTGGTAGCAAGGCAGATTCTGAGTAGAGCCCTGTGCACCAGTTTTCAGACACAGGAAACACTGTCAGCCCTGTTGCATGTGTGCTAGGTTTGTGGGCTTCCTCAGGCACCCTAAGATGTAAGTTCTAACTGGCACTATCTAGTTGGTTTCTTCAGCAAATTAATTTGTTGGATTGTGTACATATCATCTCCCAATAGAACTGCCATGAGTTAGAAAGCAATGACCACCGACAGTAATGAGAACATAAAGAAAACAACCTCGTGATTAGCCAAAGTGGCAAGAGAATGAAGATGGGCGCCTGAGGCCTGGCTTCTCCTGCACTCTCAAGGCTCCGCTCTCTTGCTCCAGATGCCTAGAGATGCAAACCAAGAGGCTGTTTTCCTTTAAGGTGTATTGCTGTTAGGTCAGGTCAGGACCTCACACCTGCCTCTCTGCTGAGCTCAAGGATTGCCAAAGATATGTCCTACCCTCTCCCACTTCCTCTCCTTGTTCAGAAGGATTATCACCAGCTTCGGATGCATCTGGTAGCCATCTTCACTGAAGGACAGGTTTCTCCCCTCAAAAGTGACATTGATCAGATACCTGTAACGATAAAATTACAGGAAGATTAAAATAAGAAAAAAAAATTGAAAGCAGAAGGTAGTTAAGTTTACTGAAAGGTATATGGAGACAGACCAGTAGATAGGGACACTGACAAACCTTAATCAACTGGCACTCTTCAAATTTCTATTGATTATGCAATACCCATCTAAATTTCACAATAGGAATCATGAAAAAAATATCAGAATTTGAAATAAGGACAGCTCATTTGAGTTCAGTCGAAGGCTCTGACTTTTACCAAATAATTAAGAAAAATATTTACTTTAATTTAAATTGTATGTATGCATATTTGTCTGTGTATGTGGGGGGGGGTATATGCACATGTGCGCAGGTGCCTGCCGAGACTAGATGGTAGCACTGGATCCCCTGGAGCTGTAGTTACAGGTGGTTTATAAGCTACCCAAAATAGGTTCTAGGAATCAAAATTGGGTCCTCAATAAGGACAGCACATGCTCTTACCTGCTGAATAGTCCCTCATTTACACTTTTGAGCTCACGTTCCCCCACCCCCCATCTGCAAAAAGTTTGGTAATAGAAAGATCACCTAATTAAGTCTGTAAGCTTAAATGAGGCAACTAGGTTAAGCACTTACCATAGGGTCTGGTGCATAGTAAGTGCTCATTAAGTGTTAACAATTATTATTCAAAAAAGGAGGTGGAATAAAGGGTGGAGGAGATAGACAAGAAAAGAAAATGGCCATGTACCAAGACAACTTTCTGCCAAAAAAATAGTAGCATGTAGGCGCTTAGGGTCTGTCTCCACCCCCAAATATGCACATTATTTAAATTCTTACTAAGGTCTTGCTCAGCCCTTGTTTGTAAGGCCTGAGTGTTGTGGGCCAGAAGCATCTGGAACCCAGGACTTCTGCTGGCTGCAGGGTGAGCAGAAAATACTGAGTGTGGGGAAAGGAAGGGGGAGTGTTTTATACAGTGCTCTGGAGACAGGAGCTTAAATTAGTGGAAGTTCTGGAAGCAACTTATTTCAGACCAATGAAATGGTTTTCCTGAAGGGCATCTGTTCCCAGCCCACCCTGTCCCTTGCAAGCTGCTGGGTCTAAGAAGTAGCTCCTTTACTGGGAGTCCCCATTGGCCTGCTCATTCCAAGTACATTAGTGCAACTGGACTGATAGCAATTAATGTCCCTTTACCATCAAGGCCCACGGAATCAGTAAGGACGAGTTCTGTGCTCACATGACATGCTCCTCCAGCACTGTGGGCCTGACTGCTCGTGAGATGAGCTCCTGCTAAGAAGCAAATGAGGCATCTAAGGAGCAGCAGAGAGGTGCTCAAAGGATCCTCTTCTAGCTCTTCTTCCATACACCTGGGAAAGTTGCTTCTTGCAGATTATGTTAGGTTAAGCAAGGCTGCAGGCATGTGGATCCTTGTAGCAATTGAAAAGATGTCTATGCAGCATGGACCTCAGGGGCACCTCTCACTCTAGGACTGTCTTGGGTTGCTATGCCTGCCATGTCCCTGCAGTGTTCAAGATATAGCTGAGAGCACAGGAGATTCCAAAAGAATAGAAATGCCTAGAATTCTGAACTGAGACTTTTCAAGTCAGATAGCTTGTCGCTTCCTGCAATTGATGCTTTCTCTCTACAATATCATTGAGTTGGTCCTCTGGGGTTCTTATGAATGTACCTATGGGTGGGGGACTTACTATGGAGTCCTCCACCCTCCAGGCAGCCATCTCACGATTCTGTCTTATTTAAAGTTGATTTTCACTCCTTTGCAACTCTTCAAAACTTGTTTCCTCTTGAGATATTTTCTGGTCTTAGTCTAGTCCTTCTTTTATCTGAGCATTCTTCAAGTATTTAAAGACATGTGTCAAACATCCCTTATAAAAATCTATTTCAATCTGTGAAGAAACCCTAAGCTCATTTGCTTCCATTCTATAATTCAATTTTATGGATTAGGAAAGAGAAACCTTAAATTATTTGCTCAATGTTATGTTACTAATTTTGGTCAGAAGTAATACTTTAAGCAACATCCTAGGCCCCACAACCTTTCTACCAAACCACCCTTATTCTCATAGCAATATGAGATTCAACGTCTCCTGTTCCTTTATATGTCCATCATATGCCATGGCCTCAAGCTCCTCCTCTCTCTGAGTACCTTCAGTCAGTTGGGTATAGCGTCTCTGGCCAACTCGTGTCCCCCATGACATCTTCTTCATCCCTTTCTCTGATCCTGACCACACCTTAGCCTAGTCAGTGTGGCTTCCCTGAGTTCATCACCACTTTGAAGATGATATCCAGGTTTCTTGTAGTTGGCAGTAACCCCAAACCCAACCCAAAACCCTATTCTATGGAATAGAATTACAAAACCGGCATTTTAAACTAACAAACTACATTAGAAGCATTCGCACCATGAACTTGAAAAATATGTTCTTCCTATAATAGTACTGAACTACTTGGAATTATTTCTGGAGGTCTTCAGAGAAAGATTATGCAACAAAACACCCAGTTTAATCCCATTTCTCTTTTTAAAGAAGGAAGGAAAGATAGGAGAGAGGAATAAAGGAGATGAAGAGAAGGGAGAGAAGGGGGAAGAGGTAGAAAGGGGGAGGAGAAAAGGGGAAGGGGGAAATGAATTACCAGTTTAAGTATCTACCTCTTCACCAGGCATGCCTATGAATTATTCTGCCTTTATCTAAAACACTATTAAAATATTTAAAAGGAAGTGTCCATTTCAGAAGGCAATTACAGTAGTCCCAGAAATGATTAAATTCCTAAGTAACATGAATTGGGTGGTTATATAGCCCCACAATGACTTTTCTGAAGGGGATAGCATCAAACTGGGAGCATAAATGGAGAAATTTGAAATTTCAGGAAATCAAGCCCACTTGGAGGCACCGTACGTAACTGGCCCGGAGTTAAACATCTCTCTTCCTTGGCTGCATGTCCTGATTTCATGTAGAAATCTTTGCCTTGCTGGCGTGTTCTCCCTCTCCTGTCTCTTGGCCTCATTTCATTTAAGCTCTTGGATGCTTTACACTTACCAAGACTATTAATAAAGTTTTATGACACTATACAAAATATTCTACAGAGTGCGTTTTAATCATTTGTGTCATTCAGCAGCATATAGATTAATCATTTACAGTATGTGTATTTTCTTTTTGAGAAATTGCCTGTGCCGTGACACCATTTAGCTACCAGGGCACTTGAAAACTTATGCTAGCCCTAAGCAAGGATGGCTTTTGAACAACAGAGCACATTAGTCCACTCCCTGGTAATAACGGAGTGAAAATGATGCTGGCTGAGGTCACTTCTCTATCAGTGATTGCAGCACCCAAACTTCAGTTATCACTCTCTAAAATGGAACTGGCGTCTGACTTCCAGCTACCAGAGAAAACAGTCACCGTGATGAACAAATGGGACAGTGAATAGTAACGCTGCATAAAATGCTATTTTAAACACGAGATTATATCATAGGGAACGTTCAGAAAGATGGTGTTAGCATGACATGACCGTCTAAAGGCAAGACACCTGCCTAATACTGAGCTTCAGTGAAGGAAAATCGGACAGTGCACTTAGAAAGACCTGTCCATAAATGGGCTCCATCTAAAGAACCAAGACTGAATTCCCCGTGTGGATGTAACACTAGGTCATAGATCACATGGATAATTAAACTTCCCATAAGAACTGAAAATATCCAATTACCTTTAGTTCTGGGTATATTTTATTCATTTAAAATATTAAGACTTTGAAACCACCACATAGAAGGCCTGGATAAAAAATTAAACTACAGTAAAGATTCTGAGACCCCATAATCACTTGTTTCTCTGCACATGCTATCCTCATGAACACAGCAATCCCCCTGGCTTAAGCGGAAGCCTAATGCAGAAATGTTGCCCATAACACTCTCGTCTCTCTGAAGTCCTGTCAAGGTTGGATATATTAAAATTTTGCCCAGTTGTGGTGATATATTGTGTACCCTAATAAAATTTGCCTGAAGATCATAGAACAGAACAAGCCACTAGATTAAACATAGAGGCTAGGCAGTGGTGGCACACACCTTTAATCTTAGCGCTCGGGAGGCAGAAATCTGTCTGGATCTCTGAGTTCAAAGCCACCCTGGAGTACATGAGATTGACTCAGTCTAGTAGAGAAAGCAGAGCCAGGCAGTAGTGGCACACACCTTTAATCCCAGTACTGGGAAGCACACAAGCCTTTCATCCCAGGAAGTGATAGCTGAGTGGAGAAAGGTATATAAGTCATGAGGAGACAGGAACTAAGGCTTTTCAGCAGAAGCTTCCCTTTCAGTTAGAGGCTTTTTCAGCTCGAGTCTTTTGGGTGAAGACTTAGAGACTTTCAGTCAGGGGATTCGTGGAGTTGGCTAGGTGAGACATGGTGGTGGCTTGTTCCTTTGTCTCTCTGATCTTTCAGCATTTACCCCAATATCTGGTACCAGGTTTTTTATTAAAAGACCATCTACCATTCGCATAACACCCAGTGGCCTATCTCATAAAGTTGTAGTATCACACAGAATCTGAGCTTGTCAGGACTCAAAAAAAGTGAAAAAATTATTCACTGAAAATTCTTATTTTAGAGAGAAACAGATCCCAAGATGCTCAATGGTCTCCCCAAGTGACAGCCACATTCAGGTTCAGAGATCAGATGTTCTATTCTTAGGAGTTTAGTATCTTCATGATACTCTGAAGTGACATCAGTTTTCAGAGCCCCTATTGTGCATTTCAGCATCGTCATGGCCCATGTCATGCTCTAGATTACCTAAATCCCTACTAGAGACTAAATGAACTAAACCAGATTTCCCTTCCTGCTTACCTCCTGGTTGAGCAAGAAACTCAGAATCTCGATGGGCTCCCAGTCAACACATTTGTTTTACGTAGCCTAGGTCACACTCCAGCAGGTTTAATAGGGTCAAGTTGAGGTTAACAAACCTGTGCCTTTTTGACTTTGGCTACACAGAGCTCTTCCACAGTACCATATAGACTAGACACCTGAAATGATGACTCAGCAGT